GAGAACGAGGGGGGAAATGAGGAGGAGGGCGAGGAAGAGGAGGATGATGATGAGGAGGAGGAGAAGGAGGCGAGGAGAAGGAAAGAGGGAGAGGGTGCGGCGGAGCAGGATGATATTAGGAGGATAGGGAAGGTAACCAGGGAATGAAGGTGGAGAAGGAGCAATAGGTGGACGAGGGGGAGAATGACGATATGGATGATAATGCCGATGACTATGGCGATTGCGATGACAATGACGACGGCGACAAAACTGCTGCTGATTGGGGATGGTGGTGATGATTATGTTGATGACGACGACGGCGATGGTCACGATGTGGAGTAAGGAAGGGGGCGATGGCGACGATCATGCTGCGTGCCAAGCTGCCCAGTTGCGATGCCGAGAGGGAAAATGAGCGGGGATAGGGTGTGTTGAAAAGGGTGATGCTAAGGGAGAAGGGGTTGGCGGATGCGCAATTTGGATGATGAGGATGTTGATGAGAGTGTGGCTGAGGAGGGGGGTGACGCGGATGAGGAAGACGACGGGTTAGAGAGAGGATGACCAGAAGTCGGACGAGGCGGACAGATGAGGTGCAGTGATTGGGGGGGGAGGGGCGGAATATAGAGCGAGAGCGAGAGATCTATAGAGAGAACGATGCACATACATATATATATGTATGTATGTTGACGTTATATATTATATATATATATATATCTATATATTATATATATATTATATAATATATTATAGCTGCCGCCTCGGCCCAAGCGAAGCAGCCGGCAGCGTCCAGCAGGCCCCGTAGACACTCGCGCCTTCCCGCTGCCCTCCACCCGCCTCCGACGAATGAATGCAAGCCGTGGAGCGGGCCAATGAGGTTTCCCTTCAGAGTGGCGGTTTATAACTCATTGTCTCTTATTCAGACCTCCCGCCTGGAGGAGATTGCAAAGGTTATGGGCGTAGACCTGCTGATGTTAAATGGCGCGAGGGTCCGAGAGTGGCAGGGTCGGCTTTATCATGTGCAGAATTTACCTGAGCGACGGACAGCGGTTCACTTTGGATGGAAGAGATCACCATATGTGACGAATTGCGCGGGCGCATGCATCGTGATAGGACGACGGCTAAGACGACAACATAGTGTATCAATTCAGCCTGGACCAAAGGGGCTGGAGGGGCGAGCAGGCGATGTGCGAATCAGATCTGGCCCTTTTGACATAATGGCGATATTTGGCTACCCTCCACCGTTGTATGAGACGGGCACCGCGAAGAAGGCGCAGATGAAGAGCATGCATATGACGCTGGACTACATTCAGCAGCGCATTTCGAGTACGCCCTCACGATGCGCACCATTTTGAGGTTTTGATATTAATTCAGGATTCGGATTGGAACAGACCTCGGACGCCAAGTGCGACCCAGACGAATGCAATTTTGGAGCTGGGAACCTTTTTTTTGTTATTGTTAAAATATAAAAAACAGACAGACATGGCAACGACTATATAAGATTCTTTCTTCTTACGACGTGGCATGTTTGAACGCTTGCCGCCCGTCGGCGCGGCCAACCTACTTCGGCGTGAACGGTGAGACAAGCATGACCGACGTGGCCATTATCCCGACAACCCTGCTAGATGGAGTGCAAACATGTGCGGTAGCCTGGCAGCGAGGACGGCAGTTGCAAATGATTCCAGACTCACAGCCTCGAGACCACCTACCTCCTTTTTTACGATCGACTACGAGATGCCAACCTACGTTCATCACAGCCCACGCCCTCGCTGGGATTACACGAAGATGGCACGAGCACTTCAGGGCGGCGTGGGTAGACTCGAATTTCATCGTGATCTAGATGACCGAGTGGCAAGTATGACAAATCAGCTAGCGGAGTACTCAGAGCTGGCTCACACGGATTGTGACTGCTATCTGTGGGCAAAGACCCTACTCGAGACAGCCCAGGACCATTTTGGCGAACGAGGCAGTCGACCAGACCATGCAGAAGTGAAACAATGGCGTGACGTTAGGCTCGAGAAACTTCACGGAAGACGGCAGTGCCGAGATCATCTTGCCCACCAGCGGCAGGAGCACGGACAAGTTCAATGATATCACAAAGAATACCTGGACTACCTGCAAGTGGAGATCCGCAGCCTCACGTATCAGATACGCCGTGCTTCGAGACAAGGGTATGCAGCATATCGCAACCATCTCTACGGCGAGCTTGTGGAATCCAGAAGACTAGGACACGCAGCTGATGTGCATCGTATTGCACGGCAGTTGGTGGGAAACGCAATGGGAGTAAACATCATAATGCATTGTCATCTACCAAGCTACAAACCTTCTTTATCATAACTGGAAGCACATATCACTCAACCAGGACCAGACGGAGGCATGGGGGCAACGCGGATAGATTTGGCACCTCAGGCGGATGATTTTCTCAGAATGCCCAACAGTACGATGGAAGTGACAGCGGGCGTTCCATTCCAACAGCTCCTTTAGCGCCTGCGCGAAGCAAAGAAGCGCAGAAGCGCAACTAAATGGAGCGTCCCCGCCGAGATCGCGCTGATGAGCCTGGGCCCTACATATCTCTCCAAGTCACTGACAACGCAGGGGGGAGTGGGATATGGCTTGCCTCCTGAGGAGGCTGAAGGCATGAATCTTTTAGCCCCCGAGAGCACGCGCAGCGCGCCGCCTCAGCCCTCTGGGCGCTTGGCGGCAGCGGGTGCCGACTCTCGGGGGGGACGTCGACCCGATGTCAGACTACCTCCGATACAACTTGTCAGAGCTACAGGAATGGGCGACACAGCTATTGCAGTAAACACCGCAGCGGCGCCCAGTATTGACGCCAGCTTCGTAGAGGCAACTTCAAATCGGATGGATATTTCTCGAGGCCGCCAAGGCCGAGCCTGGGCAAACCTGGGCGACTCGGAGGCGGATCCTTTCGAATTCTTCGACATGGATGACGCAGGCCACGACGACCTACAATGGGAAGAGTCTCTGTGTCCTGCTCCGGTTTCGCCTTCCGCCAGTCGCCAAGAAAGTTTGCTGGACTTAAGTGGGAGAAGTCTCGGAAATGCTCAACGCCAAGGCCAGTCCTTGGACAGCCTCGGCCACCGCGCCAACAGGCCCAGCGGGTCAACAGGTGGCGAGACCCCGAACTGGCGATCAGAACGCACCCCCCAGCCTGAGAATGAGAGAGTCCGCGCAAGAGACGGACGCCAGAACGTCATGGAAGCTGCATCGGCGTATACAAAGGCTCGCTCACACTTCGTGGAGATCTTGATGCACTGCTTGCGGGCCAATCAGCCACCGACGAAGAGCAGCATCACGGAGGGCGCCCTTCTCGACAAGCGGAACCAGAAGCACAGGATGAATCGCCGGCGCATCATTCACTTCTCCGACACGATATGGAAGAGTTTCTATGGCGTACTCTACGGCTGGGGGGGGCAAAAAAGGAAGCACGGACACACACTATGCCAAGTCACCTGGCACGGATTTCTAGCGCATCGACGAAATGAGGGGGCAATCTTGGTTCAGAGACGCACTGGGTGGTCACTTAGACGACAGAAACAGCACCACATCAATGAGCTACGCGACCTTTCCAACGCATTTCTTTGCCCTCGCACAGGAGATCTCCTTCATATTTCACATCAGCTCGTCCGAGAAGACTTGCGCGCTCTAGCACATCAGAGATTGGTGAACAGCATAGTACTCACCCCAGTTGGCGACAAAGAGGAAGCTTCTCTACTGCGCAACGGAGGCCTACAAGGTTCAAGCGAGGCGCCGAAACAGTTCACTGGAGTTTATCATGATTGTGTCTCAGATTGGCGAAATATTACACAGGACCCCATAGTCATGCATGGCGAGATCGAGGGTTTTCACCAGGACGTATCCCTCTCGGGCTTCGCGGACGATTTACTGAAGAAGCGACTATGCCCGTCAGGCAAGGCCGAGGATGCATTGGAGATGATTCAATCGGGCGACAAACAGTTCGATTCTATACTCAAGCGCTGGCATTTTGCGCAGACTAAATCAAAACATGGCATCGTCCCAGCTCTCGGATCGCATATCGAGAATCGGAAGCTCCGGGGAACATGCCCCTCTTCCCAGGGACAGGTAGTTCCAGGTGCACGACGCCTGGGAGCTAGATACACGATGACGGCCAGCAATCAGTTGGAGGTCTCGATCCGTATTCGATCTATGACAGTGGGATGTCAACTTGGGAAGTTCTGGAATGAAAGAGGGCTCTGGAAGCTCAAACGAGAAATTTTCTTGGGGAAGGTGCTGGGGGCTGGAGTTTCAAGGCTCGAAGCGTTCGTTTTGACGAAAACCGAAGATAAAGAGCTGGGCTCCCATCCGGTAAAATACCTCCGCGCCCTCATGCAAGGCAGAGCTAAGACGGTGCACGCGGACTCACACATGACCGCCATGAGTAACGTCGAGGTTCTCAAGCATTGGAAGATACTCCCAGTAAGAGCAGAGCTTGCGGTCAGAAGAATTGAATGGTTGCAGTCGATGTGTCGTCACCGTGTTGCACACCGACAAACTCTGGTCGCTATCTTTGGACATATCCCGAGCGAGCCCCCGACGCTGGATGAACACGGGAGGTTAGAAGCTAAAGCGAACCCATGGGCCCATCAGTTCGCTCGGGACCTGGGCCTCTTCAGGGACATCAGTGGCGCCGAGACCTTCTGGGAGACCTGGGCCCTATCTAACGAATCGTGGAAGGACCTCCTCACCCCGAACTCTGAGGCCGAACGAGAATTTCTACGAGTCGATCCAGCTATCCTAAGAGCAGCAGCCCATGCCCCAGGAAGCAGCATATGGACCCGTTTCTATGACCAGCCGAGCGACATGATAGACGCGAACCCCAAATAATACAAATGCGAACTTACCGATCACGAAACTGGGACGAATTGCGATCAGACTTTCCCCAGCTATCGACAGCTTACTACTCATCAAGCAGCTGGACACAAACTTCGCTTCACGATCCCAAGCAGCGTGGTCACGAACCAGTGCCCGAACTGTTACACGGTTTTGAAAAGCAAGTTGTGTGCACAAAATCATCTAATATTTGCTTGCGCCCAGGGCCGATGCAGAATGGGAGGGCATACTATGAAATGGCCACTGCAAATGGTTTCTGATCTGACATGTTCAATGTGTGACTCTGCCTTTTCGGATCTGGCCGCCTTGTGCGAACGCCATCGGTGGTCTCACTTACCGACTCCACACCCGATCTTGGATTATGCCAGCTCTTCTACAGACAAGCAACCAAGACGAGTCGGTGGATGGGGGATTTCAGCGGAGCCAGCGTCAACGTACACAGGAGGACGATGCCGAAGGAAAAAAGAAGACAACGGAGGCGGCAAAACACACAACTCCCACGCCACACCAAGATGCTGCTGTGCCTGATCGTCAAACAGCTCCTTCGGTGCACACAGCAGAGCAGGGACATGAGCAGCGTGATTTTCGACGCTCTTATTCTCGGGAACGACAGCCCGATTATCCTTCGCATCCAGGAGCAGACGGCGGCATACGGAAAAATAACAAAGCAGAAAAGGACAACGCCACGACATGGGCCCACCGCAGATATGCGATGGGAGGATTATTGGCAGCGGTATTGGCTCTGGCTCTGGACGACCCTTTGAAGCAGGTTGTGCAACAGATGTGCGCGGACTACAACAGCTACAGCGGCGAGCAGAAGTCAGAGTTGGTTCTCGTTTGCAAGGTAGATCGTATGTACGAGAAGGAGAAGAAGCGTCTCACGCTGGCAGTGAGGGACCCTCAGCTCCGCACCCACCTGATGGAGGCGCTCAAGACGACGGGGGCGAATCGCAAGTACGGGAGAGCGCCAGCCGCACACAGGGAGAGGGAGCTTCAGGAATGGGTGGAGCAGCTATTGCAGTAAACGCCGACTGGAGTGGCAGCGGCTACCAGTATGACACCAGCAGCGGAATGGAGGTTACTTCAAATATGATGGATATCTCGCCTTCCAGCCGCGCACGACCATCTTCGGTAGGACCGACGGCTACAGCTGAGGAGCACCCTCCTCCTCCTCCCCCCCGTCGTGTCAGACCTGAGGATGATAGCTATGTGCCTGGCTTCTCGGGGTGTTTTCCCAGGTAGCCGTGTTTTTAACAATGTGGTTTCGAGCGCGCGAGTTTTAGAGCAGGCCCGACAATGGTATCGAGCTCAGAAGTAACCGTTCCCCCCTTGATTTGACCCCCTCGGCCTCTTCACACGTCAGAGGTCGTGGGTCTCAGGCCAGGGCTTTTGCAAGCCCGCTGGCAATCGAGGCCGTCACATAGGGTGGAGGCCGCATGACCGCCGCGGGCAGGGACATCGCTTCGAGTTTAACGAATGAGTTTCGAGCCGAACTTTTTGCTGCCAAACTGACCTCGCTCAGACATCGGAGCCAATGATGTGAATACATATATATATATATATATATATGCCGTCCTTCCCTTTTTGCGCGCTCCACCAGGGCAATTCTTAGGTCCAGACACCCTGGGGGCCAGACGGCCAGACCCCTCGGGCAACCTCGGGCTGGCCCGACCCCTGCACTGCCGACCCTGGCTCCGCCAGGCCGCAGCTAGGGCCGAGCCTACCCCGAGGACCCAGGGGTCTCACGCCGTCTGGCACTCTCCACGGACCCCTTACTGGCATAGCCGTCCTGTCACGCCCTTTCAGCGCCAACTCTCTCACCCTGACTCTGGAGGCGAGGAAGGAGGGAGAGCGGGGAGGGAACAAAAAAAAAAAAGACAGGGATGCGAATGAGCTGTTTCAGGTCGCCGCGGCGCGGAGGCGGGCCGCCAGGTGCCTCCACCGCGCGAGAATCAGCTCATCAGGACCAGCTCCGCCGCACCGGCAGGGAACCCCAGGGATTTTCCAAAAAATCTAGGACTTCCCGGGGAGTGCGCCTCGGCCCCCTGTCAGCTCGCCGCGGCACGGAGGCGGGCCGCCAAGTGCCTGCACCGCGCGAGCTGCAGCTCGCTCAGGTTGAGCTGCGTCGCCTCTGCCACGGCGTCCTGGACGTACAGCCTTGCCGTGCGGACCGACGCCCACCTGCCCCGGAGCAAGGTCTGTTCCATGGAGCCATGGGACTTGAAGTCCGCGCTGGCCCCTCCGCGCCTCCAGCTGTACAGCGTCAGCTTGGCGTTCCCGAAGCCCAGGAGTTCTTTGACCTGGCTGAAGAGGCGGTGGAACGCGCTGGGCTCCATGCCAAAGCACGCCTCCTCTGGAGCAGCCGCTGCCTTGGCCCTCGCCAAGAGCTTATAGGCGACTGTGCTTCGCACGAGGACGAACTCCTTGGCGCCCGTCTGGTGCTGGCTCTTTGTGCCTCGTAGCAGCAGCACCGCTGACGCCCGAGCTGGGTACAGCTGTACGTCGTTCCAGACGAGCGAGGCCATCTCGCCAGTCCGCATGTACGTGTCGTACCCAGCGGCCAAAACTGCAGCCGCGCCCAGGTGGCCTGTCGCGGCAAATGCCCCCGCGAAGGCTGCCGCAATCAGCGGCCCAATTGGAAGGGCGCGGCCAGCTGGCTCTTGGCGCTGCCACGTCCGCGCCAGCCGCCAGCTTTCACGAAGATGCCCACGCACCGGAGGGAAAAAGTGTGATACTCCAGCGATGGCATTGTTGATGTCAAACAGGGACCCGTGCTCGCTCCACCGCTTCTCGATGAAGGCCGCAAGATCTGTGTCAACCTGCGCGGGCGTGCATGGTGAACGCCCCTCCTCCACCCAGAAGTCAACGACCTCGTTGACTGCATCAGTGTATCTCTGGAGCGAGAGGGGCGAGATCATGACCTCCCGCAGGGGCCTCGCTCGCGCGGCCAGGCGTCGCGCGAGAGCCTTGGCGGCCACGCTGTCCGCAATGGTGCCCGCCGCCGAAGCTCCAGCGGGACGGCGTATCCGCCGGCATGACGTCTGTGTCGCAGTAGCCGTAGATCGGGTACCCGCCCGTCGCGAGGTGCAGCGCGTTGAGCCTGCGGAGGGCCGGCTGCAGGGCAAGCGCACTCGAGCGGCCTTTGGTACTGACTGCCGCGATCGCTTGGGCATCCAGGATGTGGAGGTAGCGGCAGCGGTGATTGGCCACCGCCCGGCAGCGCCACCTGGCCCCCGCGACGGCTGACTCCAGCTCCAGCGCGGAGATGTGGGCGGGTCTCTGCCACAGGAAACCCTTGGCGATCCGCCAGGCCCACAGATGGGTGCGCAGCCCTGCCCGCGGCCACGCACGCGCGCGGTACAGAGCCCCGCAGTCGAGGCGCACGTCGGAGCCCCCGCGGTCGGCGATGCGCAGGAACTCGACGATGAGGCTCCGCTCGAGGACTGAATCGCGAAGCCCAGGCTGCTGGAAGTCCGGGACGACGTTCCAGTTCGCCTCGCACGCCCCGATCTCAAGGCATTGCTGGCCCGCGACTGGCGCCTTGACTGATTTGATTTGAGCCAACCAGGTGCCAAGGATAAAAGCGACAACCTGCACACAGAAGGTATTGCCAATGAGAGACTCCATGACAACTGCACGCTCGGACTCAGGAACGCTATCTTTCACTGCGCCCTGAAAATATAACCTGTCGAAGCCCATGAGTGCACCGCGCTCCTCTGGGTCGGGCAGCCGGCTCCGCTCACGCGCCGCATCCCAGATGAGCACTCCGTCCTCGTAGTTGTTGACCTGGTAGCGGTACCCGTCGGACGCCCAGCGACTCCGAGCCTGTTCCGTGGCGCGCTCGATCCCGACGGGCCTGAGCGGGGGGTGCTTCCTGATGATCGGCCTCGTGAAGCAGGGGAGGTCGGTGTTGCCGTCCAGGAGCGACCAACCCTCGTGGAGGACAGCCTTGAAGGGGAGGCGCTCGATGGTCACGTCGATACGGGTGTACGCCTCGTCCCCCGTGCCCTTGACCTCCGCCAGGCAGCCGGGCGGGAGGTGAGAACAGACCGCCCAGGAGCACCAGTAGAGCCTCGGCCGGCTGACCCGGGTGAAGTGCTTCGCGTCCAGCAGCACGGGCGTGACCTTCAAGATCTTGGTGAACTGCGCCCGCGACTCCAGTGTCATGCTGAAGACGTTCTCGACGAACCACACCACGCGCCGCGGGAAGACCTCCTCCGCGACGCCGATGAGTTCAGGCACCCGCAGGAATAGCCGAGACCGCGCGCCCTCCAGCCCTGAGCCCACAGCATTGAGCCCTGCGAGGTCCTGGCACGGGCTGCCAGCAGTGATAAGGACCCAGTCGGCGTCGCGCTTGTAATTCTCGAGCATGTGCCTGAACCGTTCGCCATCGATCCGCTCAATGTCCCCGAGCTCGACGACGCCAGCCCAGCGCCTGCGGACCAGCCGTCGGGCAGCTGGGTCCACCTCGCTGCTGAGGTGGGCGACGATGGTGAAGGGCAGGCGCGAGGCTGCAACTGCTGCGGCCGCCGCCCCACAGAACAGCTCCACGATGACGACGCGCGGCCGCCATCGCACCCCTTCTACAGGGTACGATATCGCCCCCGGCCGCAGCGAGACGACCGAGGCGCCTTCCATCGCGCACGCAATTCCCGCCTCGGTGAGCCCGACCGTGTGGCAGATCCCTCCAGCACGCTCGCTCGCATCCGTCGCGATGACGCACGGGTCGATCTGCGCTCGCAAGTCGGTGAATGCGAGTGGGAGGGCCATCATGAAGCTAAGCAGCTCGTCGCACATGTCGAGGGGAACTGCCTGCGGCTGCTGCCAGCGCCCAGCTGCCCACACCGCGTTGAGGTAGCCCATGAACGGCCGCCGGAACTCAGCTGCCCTAACGCAACGGCCAAGGATCATGAGGACGGCCTGCGACGACATCGCGCTCTGGCCCATCCCCCAGAGCGTGAACCCAAGCAGGGCGTGCAGCTTCTCGACGGTGACCCCGACTCGGCCTTCGAGGCCGTCAAGGCCGGCGCCCATCCGCTCGAGAATGAGTGCCCTGTGCTTGGCCTTGCCATCGGCCACCTGAATCCCGGAGCGGCGGTAGGCCTGGCGCTGCTCCTCCTGCACCGCGCCCACGGTCCCACGAAGCTCAGCAATGAGCCGCTCCGGGACGATCTCGCCGTGGTCCCAGTCGTCGATGTAGTACTGAACCCACTTCTGCTCGAGCTCCTTCGACTTGAAGGGCAGCGGGCGGTCCTTGCGCCACTCCATGCTGGGGGCGAACCCTGCGCCCAGGGGACGCATGCTGAAGCCGAGCCGGCGGTGGCAGTGTTGGAAGACCGTGACGGCGTTGACCCAGCCCATCGGGATGACCCGCAGCGCGATGTGCGTCTTCCCAGGCCCGCTGACCCCGATGCGCTCGTTCGGGATAGCATCCGCGAGCGTCATGTAGGGCTGCCAAGCCTCCGGGAGCTCGTAGCAGTAGAAGGCGGAGGCCTGGTCGTCGGACGACCACAGCAGCATGTGGCCCTCGGGGAGCGGGATGGCCACCCACGACGGCGACGCACTGAGGGTGCCAACGTCGTCCCGCATGATGCGCTGGTAGCTGTTGGCCGGGACCATGTTGATGATGAGCCTCTGCACGCACGGGCACCCGGGCGTAGGCGTCCCGCTCTTCTGAACCCCGAAGGCGCCAGCAAGGACTTTGCGGTTCCCAACCTTGAAGATCCTCTCCTCCGCGATCGGCGCCGCAAGGCCCAGCTCGACCAGCTTCGCGCCGATGTCGTGCCACTCTTGCTTCGACTTCACCTGAATCGATGCTCTTGGCACCTCCTCGGGCCACTCTGCCCGCGGCAGCAGGGCCAAGCCTGGATCGGCCAGCCAGCTGCCCACCCGGGCGTCTGCGATGTCGATCGCCCTCACCGACGCGGCTACGCCTTTCGCTGGCAGCCCGGGCATGACGCCGCCGAGGGTAAGAGGCAGGGCGCGTGCCACCTCCTCGCCGCCGTAGGTGACGTCCTTCGAGCTGATCAACTCCTCCCAGGCGGGGAGGTCGACCGTGGTGTCTGCCCCGCGAGCGAAGTAGTCGCATGCCTGGCGGATGATCCCGAGGGCGTTCACCTGGCTGGCAGAGCTCTGGACAGGCGGCACCGTCGGCGCCTGCATGTGCCCGGTGTATTGGTAGTTAAGGCTAAACACAACGAGCTGGACCCAAGCCTCGGCGGTGGCCTGGTCGACCTTGTCGGCTGCCAGCTGCTGCCCAGCATAGCGCGCTGCCCGGAGCTGACTGAAGACTGGGGCGTCGGGAACGGGTAACGGCAACACCTCGCGCAGGCGCGTGAAGCTCTCCGTGGGGTCTGGTGGAACGCGCATTCGCCTGATGAACCTCCCGACGTCCCCAGGCGCTCCGTGGGCAGCCTCGTGCATGATGAGGGCCAGCTCGAACTTGGTGGCCGCTCCTGTGCAGCTGGAAGCGAGCAGCTGGCGCCAGCGCCTGACCTGGGGCGCGCCCCTGAAATGGCGCTCATCAGGCTCTGCACTGTCTCCCGAAGCCAATCGGGGCGCCCCGGCAGGGACCCCCGGGAATTTTCCAGAAAATCCTGGACTTCCCTGGGGGTGCGCCTCGGCGCTCACTTGGACCAGGGGGGCCGCGCCAGCTGGCCCTTGGCGACGGGCTTCGACTTGGCCTTCGGGGCGGTTGCGCTCCTGGCCCCTGGGGCTGCGCGGCCGCGCCTCGCCACCAGCATGCGGGACTTCCACTGGGCGCGCGTCTCGCCCTCGCGCCTCGGAAAGGTTCCCTTCAGATCCTTCCAGCTCCTGGCGCCAGGGGCGGCTGGCTCGCCGCCCTCCTCGGGCGGTGGGGGCGCCTCCGTCTCGGTGTCCGACCCCGCAACCATGTGGACCGTCCGCTCGCCGCCCGGCGCTGCTGGGGCTGCTGCAGCGCGGCGCCGGCCCGCAGCTTGAGGCGGGGCTGCGGCTCCGCCCGCTGGGACTCGGCTTGCCAATATCCGCAGGGCCTCCGCAGAGCCCGCGACTGGCGTCCCCGGGGTCCCCGGGGGTGGGGGCCTCGCTTCCGCAAGGCCATGGCCGCTGGGAGCCGCGTCCCCCCGGGCGGGCGACGACTCCCGGCCAGGCCCCTAGCCCGGCCTCCTGTCCTGGAGCTTGCGGCGGAGCTCGGCGACCTTGAGCTCCCTCGCCTCGACCTTCTCGGCAGCCGTCTCCTCGTCGATGGTAGCTCCCGACGGGAGCTGCTCCTGCGGCACCAGCGTGAGCCACCTCGCCGTCCGCCAGTGCCCGTCGCGGATGGCCATCGTCCTGGCCTTGAACTCCTGCATCAGCAGGTCGCCGGTCTCGACGACGTCGCCCTTGAGGATCCCGTCGAGGGCGAGCCCGAGCGACCGAAGGGACCGGACCTCCTCGGGCGGGAGCGTCCGCGGCGGGTGCGCCACGAAGAAGACCGTGTCCAAAAACTGCGTGACGCACGGCGCGAGGGGGTCGCCGTCGGCCACGCGCAGCTGCCGCGTGAACTGGCCTCGGATGTGCGCGAGCCCGTTCTCGAGGAGTGCGCCCGGGCGGCGGCGGGCAATCTGCCTGAAGAGGTCCCGCTTGATGCCGACCCCCTGGAAGCTCTCGCCCAGCGCACCCCGCTCGAGGTCGCTGTCGCCAGCCTCGTCGCCCTCCTCCTCTGCGCGCGCCTGAGGCCGCTGGCTTCCCCGCTGCAGCAGCTCCTGCCTCCGCCGCGCGCGCG